AAAAAAAAAAAAAAATATATATATATATATACCTTTTTCGTCGCCATCGTCGTTGTCGGAGTAGGTCGGAATTTTTTTTGGAATTTTTCGAAGTTCAGAACCGGGAGAAAAAATGTGTAATGTGAATAATGAATTTTTTTTTTAGTGTAAAAGACAAAATTAACTTTTGGGGCCTGTAAACTTCGTTACTTTGGATTTGGGAAAAGAAAGGAGAAGAAGAGAAGTTGATTTTACTTCCCATTTCAGTTGTGTATTATCCCAGCGGCCATTACAGTACAGACGTATTCTTTGCTGATTGTCATTGTTTGTTTTCTCTGCCAAGGGTTTTTGTGGTTTTAAATTTATGCTCAATAATGACTGCCTTTTGGCCCTTTGTTTTGTGTCTTATTGCTTGTTCCAGTTTACTAATCGGCTATTTGATTTGGTGATCTATGTGGTTATATGCCATCTTGAATTTTGGCTGATTACAAACTGGGGTTGCTTTGATGCTTCCCTCAATAATTTGATAGTTGAATGATACTTACTTTTGCCCACGTTTTAGATTTGCTGCCCGTTTTTCGAATTTTCGAAACTTGTGAGATTTTCCTATGATGCTTGCTATGTTCAGTTTGGCCACTTCAGATTGAAGCCATGGACACACACCTTAATTTAGTTTCCGCAAATTTCAGGTGTTTCTAGTTGCACTGTATCTACCCCTTCATCTGTTGTGACATAAACAGTATGGGGAATGAACTTCGGTATGTCTGCCTGGTTGAGACCCGGAGATTGTTGTTGCTAATGGGGGTGATTTTCGGGTTGATTTTATTCATCCAGTATTTTGAGCTCCCGTATAGTAATATTTTATCGTCTTTATTTTCGAATGGGAAATCTCAAGTACAGCTTCTTGACAACTTGCGAAACTCGTCTGAGAAATCCATTACCTTGAGGAACCAAACGTATCTGGGTAGCGTGAATTCTACTGATCTTGATTTTGATCAAGAAAATGTTGATATTGGTGCAAGAAATGTAAAAGATGATTTTGGTCAAGAAGACAAAGAAAATTCACGTTTGAATAACGATATTGATGTCGAGGATGAATCTAGATCCAAAGAGTTCTTCGGAACAGATCATATCTCAACCTCAACCTCAACCGTAACAAATGATAGTATCTTACCAGACGAGCATGGAGAAAATCTGGGATATGCTCCAGAAACTAGTGCTTATGATGTCATGGGGGAAAATAAAGACACAACTCCCAATTTGAATTTGACTGCCAATTCACCGGCAAATGTGCCACCTGGTTTTAGATCTCCATATATTCCTAAAACGAGCATGGATGTGGATGTAAAAGCTCCTTATCCGGTCACATCTACGGGAAAAGATGCTGGGAATATACTTCAAAACATTGGAAAACCAATTGGAAAAGAACATTTGGGAGGCACACGTGTGGTGGTGCCTATATCTAAGATGAAGGATCTGCTGCTCCAGAGTCGTGTGTCATATAGTGCTGTGGTTTGTATCCAAATTGTCATCTTAAATGTAGATATGTGAAAAAATTATGTCTTTCTTCTTTTATTCTTTCTTAATTATTTATGCTTGTGTATTGTATTGTGTTTCCAGAAGCCTCAATGGTCCTCAACAGCTGATCAGGAGTTACTAAATGCAAAGTTCCTCGTTGAGAATGCATCAGTAGTTGAAAAAGACCCTCAATTTGATGTGACATTGTACAGAAACTTTTCGGAGTTCAAAAGGTTCGCCAATTTTCAACTGCCTAATTCAATTTGTTGACCGCTACATGCTATACTTCAGATTCTGGAATTCTTTGTTTTTCCATATGCTTCATTGAGCAGTTCTAGTTGTTGCCATTGTTCTAGGACCTGTTGGCAGTGCTTTCATATGTCATGCATTAGAAACTTATTTAGTTTTTTTAAGAAAAAATATTAGTATTAATGATATTATTAACATATTTGTTCGAATGTGGCTGAACAATCTAGTATATATAAATTTCCGCCAGTAGATAACGAATTATATTCGCTCGACTAACCAAATACAATTCAAATTTGACCTGTACAGGAGCTATGAATTAATGGAGCAAACTCTAAAGGTTTATATATATGCTGAAGGCGAAAAGCCAATATTCCACCAGCCTCCCCTTAAAGGAATATACGCATCCGAAGGATGGTTCATGAAGCTGCTAAAATCGAACAAGCGATTTGTCACTAAAAACCCAAAAAGAGCACACCTATTTTACTTGCCTTTCAGTTCACGCATGTTGGAGGTGGCCTTATACATACCCGATTCCCACAGTCGAGACAACTTGATCCAGTATTTGAGTGACTATGTCACGATGATCATGAGAAAGCACAGTTTCTGGAATAGAACAGATGGGTCCGACCATTTTCTCGTTGCCTGTCATGATTGGGTATGTTTTCAACATTTTTTTTGACCTACTCCTGCTTCATCTCAGGGATATTTACGAAAAGTTATCCTTGCCATTTGTCCTAATTTACCCTTAAATCCCAATTATCTTTCAGAACTTACCGATGCCCGCTTGAGGTATTACAATTTACAAACACCCACCCCCTTGAAGTCTGTATTTCCTTAACAAATGACCCTCTTATCAGTGGTATATTTGGTGTTGTCTGTAACTGGAAGGAGTTATTTGCAATTTTCATTTAATAACTAGCTGAACTAGGAAATGCACCCAAAATCTTTTAAATTGATGAAATTACATATGGCCCTTGACCTCTTTGTGTTTCGATATGCACTCAGCACCGAAACAAACAGGAATCTCTGAGTTTGTTTTGTTACATTTCCATGTTCTGAGAATTCAGGCCCCAGTTGAGACACGGCGAACCATGCCCAACAGCATCCGATCCTTGTGCAATTCAGACATTAAAGAAGGGTTCCGGTTGGGAAAAGACGTTTCTCTCCCCGAAACCTTGGTGCGGACCCCACAGAACCCTCTCCGCCAGCTTGGAGGCAAACCTCCTGGGCAGAGGCGAACCCTTGCTTTTTTCGCTGGCAGCATGCACGGATACTTACGTCCCTTCTTGCTCAAACACTGGGAGAACAAAGACCCCGATATGAAAATATTCGGTCAACTGCAGAAAGTCAAAGGTCAAACCAGCTACGCGCAGTACATGAAGACGAGCAAGTACTGCATTTGTGCCAGAGGGTACGAGGTCAACAGCCCCCGGGTGGTGGAGGCTATTTTCTACGAGTGCGTCCCAGTTATTATATCGGACAACTTTGTCCCTCCCTTTTTCGAGACTCTAAATTGGGAGTCGTTTGCGGTTTTTGTTTCAGAGAGGGATGTGCCGAATTTGAAGAAGATACTTTTGTCGATTTCGAGTAGAAGATATGTGAAGATGCAGAAGAGAGTACGGGAGGTGCAGAGGCATTTCTTGTGGCATTCGAGGCCCGAGAAGTATGATGTTTTTCATATGATATTGCACTCGGTGTGGTACAATAGGGTTTTTCAGACAAGATCATTGTAGCAGTTATAGTTGCACTGCTTTTGAATGTACAGAAAATCTTGTAGCTGTTTATAATGTGGATTGTCTAAAACAGAGGAAGAGTGGTTTGTTAAAATTATAAAGGGAACGAGAAGATTCTTTTTCTTATGGACAAGTGGAATCTTACCACTAGTACCATTAATATTTTATCTTATCATGGTATAGAAATGTGTGCTTGTATGCATAAATTTTGCTTATAAAAGGCAAGGAAAATGGCTCATTGTTTGTACGAAAAAGTGAAGAAAGAAAGCAAAGTATAATTTGTTCCGGTTTTTTACATTGTGTTCTTTATATTCCTCGCATTTTATAACACGTTATCAGCACGAGCGCTCTAC